TGTAATTAACAAGACGACAGTATCAATTGTCACTATTGTCACTATTGTCATGATCATTATCATCACCACCACCATCCTCATCGTAATTTTGTGATGATGATGATGATGATGATGATTGTCAGCGTCATCATTATGGTTGTTATTCCGGACAATGTGTAGTATTAGGTAGTGGCAGAGTTGGGTAATAAAACCTACATGAAATGATAGAACAATACAAACCAAGACAAAGTTCTTCTATGGCAATCTGTGTGCCAATGCTTCCCAAGGGGGCTATACGTAAAAGAAAAGAGAAGATCCCTAATTTTGGTGAAGTCGCTCGTCTTGTTTACATTGTGAGGGTGAATTCTAGGGAATATATACTACGGTGTTAGGTTGGGTTGGATGTTGGGTTAGGACGTTTTGTTTAACAACCACGGTGGTCCTGTTTTACCCCATACTTTCCGTGATCTACTTCATGCCCTCCCCTGCTACCAGGGTGCATTCTGTGTAAAACTCACGCCGGAGGTATGCCATTAGCTCATCGAGTGTACGCCAACGTTCCCGATAAGAGTAACTTTTCATATAGTTTGACGCCAAGTTATAGCCAAGTAGATTGTTGATGGTAGCATACACTTTTTAATGAGAATCGTGATTTTTTTCCCCAGCCTTGTGATTCTCAAAAAATTGGGATTTTGCGCCTCAGATTTTTGTTAAAAGACAGCTGCAGGGAGTGTAGGAGGGGCGTGCGTTGTAAAGGAATAAAACAATTGACTATGTATAAGTGCATTGCGTTTAACTTAAAAGCCTGATAAAGCAGTAAAGATAAAAAAAACATGCGCTGAGATTTTTCCATTTCATTACGCCAAGGAATATGAAATGCACCCTGGCCCTGCTATCGGGACTATCAAATCAAGATTGTCGATGGAGATGGTGATCATATCTCCTCAACGATTCATATGCACAAGGTACAATGCCTAAAATCATTGATAGCAGTGGATTTCATGCAGAAAAATATCAAAATTGTTCGTAAAGTAACCCACTACCTACTTCTATATATTGATCAGGGGACCTTCTCTTTTCTTTTACGTATAGCACCCTTGAGAAACATTTGCACACATATTGCCATAGAAGAACTTTGTCATGGTTTGTATTGTTCTATCATTTCATGTAGGTTTTATTACCCAACTCTGCTACTACCTTATACTACATTGACCGTTATTTGCCTTGTTATTGGGTAATCATGCTGCCTTCGGAACTCCTCATTTTGCTCGGCCAGGCAACTTGTCAGGACCAGCAGGGCAACGAGTCCCAGCAGGCCTTCATTGCCCACAGTGCTACCACCTTGAAAGTAAACATTCACTATTTTATCATACTGGTGTCTTTATTTTATATGCTTTGTAGGTCTGTAACTCCTCTGATGCATAGGTAACTTACCTGCAACTGGCAAATACAAAAATATCTTTTGATAATTACAATAAAGTCAAAAAATTACCTACCAACATCTTATGTTTGCCTGCAATTGTCATTGGTTACATACAAATGCTATTATGATGTAATCTTGTCCTGCTGGCATGGCTGCAAAGGAAGGCAAAATAGAAGAGGTGGACAACTTGTCCCAGAGGCCATAGTAGGGGTTCCTGACGGTCAAAACATCTTGTTCAACTTGTTGGACGAGGAGTTCTGAACATAGCATTATTTAGAATACCTTATCATGTCTGGTCATGATGGTAGTAATATCAGTGGTTTTCTCTCACTCTAGAAAACCACATATATAGAAATTATGCTGCAGAAACATACCTACTTACAAATTTGGCCCCGATAGCAGGGGAAGGTACTTTGGAAAGTGCAAGATTACATGTGAAGAATATATAGAATATGCAATTTATAGTCAGCTGCAGGGGGCTGTGTCCCTGTAGCCTTCTTAACCCTTTCCCGATGGGTCATGTGCTGAGGCGTCATAACAAACCGCTCGATCTGCAGAGTGCGTGTGTATGCTGCACTATGAGCCGGTGATTTGGCTTGATGAATTGAACTCCTGCACTCAATGTTGGCGTGTTGCCATTGATCTCCAGAGCATAGTGTTTAAAAAATTTTCTTCACCTGTCAGTAAGGGGTTAATGGGGGCTGCCATTCCTCAACCCTGGCCCTGGATGACAAAGAATCCACCATGTGTGTACAGAAGGATAAAGTGTAGGACAGGCTCGGCATCGGGTGATCCCAGGCACTGTGATTGTACCATGAGTGTATATCATCTACTGATAATCTAATGTGTGGGGCTATACCCCCTGCAATCCCTTGAGGGGGTTGTCCACCTAAACCCACCAGAGACTACAGTGAAAACCCTATACACTATGGCTCTAATCGTTATGAATGCCACTCACAGCCCAAGTCCAGTTGGTGCTCCTGAGTTTCAGCTCTTTCTTTTTATGCATAACTAGGTAAAGACAGCATTTCCTAAGGGAGTGTTGGGGGGCAGAGCCGCCATCAACTCTCCCTTTGGGTAGTGCCTGAAGGGCATACCCATTCATGGCAACTTAGATTATTGAATAAATTTTGTGATGTGGAGTTTGGAACTTGTCTCTGGTGAGTGCATCTATACTGTAAAGAATTACCCACATATGTAAGACAGGACTGGTCAGTGTTATGTTATGGGTATAGGAATGTACCTAGATCATTATCATATCATCCATAAATTAGGGGAAGAAGGAATTATCATTTCTGGCCTCTATCATGCTAGGATCATCTGCAATGTCTGTAGTATGTTATCATGCCATAAAGATGTGGAGGATTTGTTGTCTTCCAGAGCAGGGGTTGTGTTTGCAAGGGGTGCAATCTGGCCGGGTGACTATTGAGGGGAGAGAGGAGAATTGATGGAGGAAGCATCGTCTTCACCATGGTATGCATAGCAAAATAGAGCAAAAAGATTTTAATCTTTTTCCTTTATTCCTGTCTGCAGGTTATTTCTTATTCTGATGAATACAATTTTTAGTCCTCTATGAGAGGACTAAAAGTACAATTTGCTCTAGCTTAGTGCATCCATATTGCAAAGATTGAGCAGCTAATTTTCATGAAGATAAAAAAAATTAGAAAATTATTACTTTAACTTAGTTGGTACGTTTGGCAAGAATATATGCTATATCTTCTGTAATATATGATTATTTATTGTATATATACACAGATAGCTTTACAAGTGCTTAGTCACCAAGGAGCAGTTAGTCTAACCTATCTCACCTATTTACCCTTTTCCTTGACTTTTGGAAAGGATCTTTTGCATTATTTCATTGTCTCAAATGTTATCAATATTTTGATAACAATTTAAAAACCATAACATCAATATCAATAATAACACTATCGATATCAACTGTATTAAATTGAAAAACACATTTTCCTCATTTCAAGGAAATTGGGATCGGTCGCTAGGGCCTACTGATAAACTCCTTTCTGGCTGAGTACATGTGGAGCCATCTGTATGTAACAAAATTCACAAAAATCTATAGGGGACAGAACCTAGATCCAGGGTGGTTGTGTTAATTGTTAGCTATTGATATTTGAAGAACAGTACTAATCATAATGCTAATAGTAATAACATTATCAATAGTAACCCACTGCCACCAGGAAAAATGAACAAAAAATGGGGAAAATGCTCTGCCTATTTTCTATATTTTTTGTGAAGGGTAAATGGCAGTACAGGCAGTACTCGTAACTGGCTCATTTGTGACTTAGTACAAGCATAGCCATCTATATAAAAACATTCAAACAAGTACTCACAGTGGACATAGCACGTACGTATACGTCATACCTGTCGGCATTGGGTTAACCTATTCATCCCATGTGGCAAAAATACATGCCATGCCCACTATAATACACTTTTGTTTATTGTATTTACACATAGATGGCTCCACAAGTTCGTAATCACCAAGTAGCCAGTTATCAGAACTACCTATCTCACCTGTTTACCCTTCACTTTAGGAAAGGGTCGTTTGTATGATTTCATTGTGTAAGATATTTTAATGACAATTTAATAATCATAACATCAATAACAATAATAACAGTATCGATAGTAATGGTATTAATAAGAAAAACACATTTTTCTGACAATTCAAGGAATGGGAAAATCAGGATCGGTAACTAGAGCCGACTGATAGACTCCTTGTTAGCTGAGCACATATGGTGCCATCTGTATGTTACAAAATTCACCAAAAACTACAGGGGACAGAACATACATCTGGGGTGAATGGGTTAATGATAGAAAATTACAAACCCTGTAAGTCAAGGAATGGGAAAATCAGCTGTGGTCACTAGGGCCTATTTATTGAACCATTGATGGCTGAATGCTTGTGGAGCCGTTTGTGTGCAACAAAATTCACAAAAACTAAATGGACAGTATATAAACCTGCTGTTATTAGGTTAATATGAATTGTTGCAAAAAATATTATCAGCATAATTTTATATTTAATTTTCATAGGCTATGATAGCTTATTTACTAATTCTTTCTTTGTCTAGAAATTCAAGCCACCAGCTTTGATACCAGTAGTGCACTTCTGGTAGCACCTATGATATGGTATTGCATTTTATCCAACTGAGTATGTAGTTGGCTTTTGATGTTAAGTATTGTTTAGGGGTTAAACTGCTGAAGATAAAATTATAGAACTGAAAGTTAGTAGTTGGTATATAGGCTATTGCCAAAGTTGGGAAGTACTGTTAGTACTTAGAGATTAAGATTACCCCTTGCTTATAAGCTGAAGTACAGAATAATACAGATTACCACGACTACCAGAAATATCTGTAATATTTTTAAAAAGTATCAGTGATACTAACTAATGGTACTTTCTATGTATCAATCTTTTTTTTCTTCAGTAAGTATCACCAGAGGCACTGCCAATAGTTTTTGTAGGTTTTTCTGAGTAGTTGTAATATCCATTCTTTGATTTATTATTAACCCCTAAAGTTTGAGCCATTTCATTGGAACATATAGGTAAATTTCACTATCAACCATGTTGGCTTGATCAAGCTTTTAAAACTGGCATGCTGTATGTGGGACCTAATGAGGGTAAACTAGTATATATGGTACTGTTTGACATCTTTTGTTCAGCATCTAAGCAACAGAGAGCTATCCCCTCTACCCCTAACCCCCCTGCCACTTCTCTGCTCCTCCAATCCTCCCTCTACATCCCTACCAAGCCATCAGAAACCACAACACTCTGTACCATCTCCTGCCCCCTTCCCCTGAAGGAGCTTTTCCTTGCTATTCATACAGTTACTTCCTGGTGTGGGTGAGCCATTTCCAAGGCAAATTTTGTTCAGGGTTAAAATTGAAAAGTCTGTGTCATTTCTAATTGAGGCAAGGAAGGAATTTTGTTTTTTAAGGATTGATATTGTTATTAGTCATACTGGTAATAGTAGTGTTAAGATTTGTTGATATCTTGTTTTTTTATTCCTTTGTTTGATGAAGGACACTTGGCTATTTTTCTTTTTTTGTTCATATCAGAAAATATATTTCAATTTATTGTTATTTATTTTTTGAATCATTAGGCTCTCAACAAACTTTCTGCAAATGATCAAGGCAATTATTTTTTGGCAAGATTTTAAAAGTTTAGGAAAAATTCTTAAGCTGGGGATATGTCCTAGAGGGCATTACTAATTTCTAGGTAGGAGGGGCATGAGCCCAAAGTGAAAAGTATAAATTTCATCAATTATATTTGCTATTCTTTTAACAGGAGTGTGGGCTAATATTGAGAATTTTATAAAAATACAATGTATCATCTGTACTAGCTATAGTTTTCTATCATCTACATAGGATTATGATTTTCTATCCTTATTGATGACCCTCTCTTTATTTTGTGACACCCTGGTGGGGGTGGAGAGTTAACTTGCCCTGAAATTGTATACTTCTCATGAGTAAACTCCATGCTCTCCCGATCTGACACATATACCCCTAGTAATCATATCATCTTATACATTTTCTCAATTGAGGCTTGAGTTTCCTTTACCTCACCTTGAGATTCTGTGAGTTGCTGTTGCAAGAGAAGTGAGAAACAAAGTGAGATAATAGAGAAGGCATGATGAGAGTAGTTCCTACAGTATCATGCTTATGCCATGGAAATTAGCTGTATGAGGAATGTTTGAAAATAGTGGAAAAGTGGCCTGCCATTTGAAAACAATTTTGCTGATCTTTTTTTTTCTTGTAATTTTTTTTTTTTTTTTTTAATCATTTGAATTTGAACTAGTTCTTTGCTAGAGAAAGAAACTTTGAGGATAGTGAATCCCAAATAGACCTCTCTCAAAGATTATTATTTTCAATATTTCATTTTAGGAATATTTTTATTCTGAAATATCTGCCAATTCAATGAATGTACATTAATACCCATCTATTGATGCCACTGTATGATTGTAAGAAAAGGGTATGAATGAGAAAGAATATCTTCACAGCACAAGAGATGTAGCTGAGCAGTTTTGAGTAATTCTGATGAAGATACAATCAAAACTAGTTAAATATATGCTGTACAAATATTGTGCTTTACCTTTCTCTATACTTGTGCAGGTGTATCACTTGAAAAAAAGGCATGGCATAATTAAGACTCTAAAGATTTGAATTGATCTTTCAAATCCTCTCACATTTTGCAGGATATTACAGTTCGGTAATTTAAAGTATTTGTTATGAAAAAAGATATTGTCTAGGAGTTTTGAGCATCTATGCAAACCAAACATAGGATTATGCACTTATACCTTTATGCCTCTTATGTATTCCTTAGTTGCTGTTATTACCAAGGAGTGAAATATGTTGAGGGGAATCTAAAGTAAACTGAAAGACAAGGAAAGCGATATCTATATATTTTTCACTGCTTCTATTTAGTCAAGTCCTTCTAGAGTTGCCCACTGTAGCTGATAATCCTTGTTATGATGAAGGGCCAGAGCAACACAAGGAAAATCTATTGGAAGTTCTTATCTGACTTTGAGGGAAAGTACGACTTAATGGTGATTTTTCAAAGTGAATATTTGATGGGATTTGAGATTTTTGCAAATACAGTTATCAATAAAATATTTGTGCAAAGTCTCATGCAATTCATCTAATCAAACTGTAATGAATGACAGTCGCTTTATTTCAACTTTTGTTTCTTTCCAAGCAAAAATTATGTAACAGGTACTGAAAAATGACATTTATCTACATTACCTGAAAGACCATTTGGAAATATATTTATATATATCTGAGAATTAATTTATGATATATGTTGTTAGGTACACTAAAGAATAGAGGATGTGACACAGAAGGCATTTTCAGGATTCAATATTAGGCATAACAACTCAAAGTGATGAATGAGCAATTGGTTTTATGTTACAAAAAATATTTCATTGTTATCTTTAATAACTGTGGGGAAAATGGGAAAAGCAAAGTGCAAAAAATTGTAAAGTTAAAGATATTTTCATTAATAGGTTTGCCTGTAATTTTCAAATGCTGAAAAAATAAAAAATGAAAGCAAAAGGAGAGAAAGAAAGAAAAAAAAGGTTGAGATTCATATTCACCTGTACAAACCAACATCATTTGACCCTCCAAAAAGCAGATGGTCCCTTAGATAAAAAGAGAAAATTTGTTTATTAAAAAGACATACAAAGGGTTCAAGAACGAAACTCATTGGCTTGATTCTTTGCAGGTTCGGTACCAAGGTTGGACTCGGCGTTGGAGTTGTGTATGCCACAGTAGATCAGGGCATATGGGGCTCCAGTAAAGAGGCTGCCGCAGCTTACGACAGATTGTACGATATTATGCCTGGGACGAAAAATGTATCGGAAAAGGTGAGGTTATGGGTTGTAAGTGGGTTTGTATTGAATGTTGCATTGGTAGATCTTTAACCCTTTATATGTGGAATCATGAGACGTTGGATATCATTTAATATTCAAACTATTCACATGAAACTTTGATTTGTGCACAGATGTGTTTTTTTTAGAATCAGTTTTAAAAAGTGTCAAAGAATATAAAACAAAGTAGATGGGAAGCAAATAACTGACTTCCTTTATAAAGTTATGCATATGTAGTATTGAATTTGATTTTTCCTATATACATATGCACACACACACATGCGCGTGCGCGCATGTACTCGCATATGCACACACACTCACACACACACTCACACACACACTCACACACACACTCACACACACACTCACACACACACTCACACACACACTCACACACACTCACACACACACTCACACACACACTCACACACACACTCACACACACACTCACACACACACTCACACACACACTCACACACACTCTCACACACACTCTCACACACACACTCACACACACACACACTCACACACACACACACTCACACACACACACACACTCACACACACACACTCACACACACACACTCACACACACACACTCACACACACACACTCACACACACACACTCACACACACACACACTCACACACACACACTCACACACACACCACACTCACACACACACACACTCACACACACACACTCACACACACACACTCACACACACACACTCACACACACACACTCACACACACACACTCACACACACACACTCACACACACACACACACACTCACACACACACACACACACACACACACACACACACACACACACACACACACACACACACACACACACACACACACACACACTCACACTCACACACTCACACTCACACTCACTCACACTCACTCACACTCACTCACACTCACTCACACTCACACTCACACTCACACTCACACTCACACTCACACTCACACTCACACTCACACTCACACACACACACACACACACACACACACACACACACACACACACACACACACACACACACACACACACACACACACACACACACAATGTATATAATATATAATTTTAATATACACATACATGCATATACATATACATACATATATGTACATATATATACAATATATATATTGTGTGTGTGTGTGTGTGTGTGTGTGTGTGTGTGTGTGTGTGTGTGTGTGTGTGTGTGTGTGTGTGTGTGTGTGTGTGTGTGTGTGTGTGTATATATGTGTATGTATGTGTATGTATGTATGTGTGTGTGTGTGTGTGTGTGTGTGTGTGTGTGTGTGTGTGTGTGTGTGTGTGTGTGTGTGTGTGTGTGTGTGTGTGTGTGTGTGTGTGTGTGTGAATATGATATAAACTAGATGTCTAAGTTACACAAGTTGTGTAGCTGCCTAAATTTATATTATGTCTTTCTCAGTACAATAATTAATGTACCTTTATTACATCAATAACTGAAGCATATTTATGTTAACCATTATTATCATTTTGTAAGCAAACGCCTACACTTTATGGAGACCCTCTCTTCCCGAGACTGTAGAATCCAAAATTACTACAGATGCTACAGTATTTGCATTACAGGGCAGTTCATAGAAAATGTATTGCTTTCCTGTTTAAATTGTATATTAGTGAGGGCAGTTCAGCAGTTAGATTATTTCATTGTTATAACTAATTTATGTAAGTTACATCAATATGAATATGCAGTAGTGCTATATAGAAATTTGCATTAAACAGCTGTATAGTGATAGTCATACTATATGGAGAAAGGATTTTCAAACGTTAGGAGAAAAGTAATATGTGGTAGATGACAAACTTGTGGTTTTTGTAACCTTCATTGTTTGTAATGAATAATACATTAATGAAAAGCATTTCATAAGCTTTTTATACACTTGGATAAAACACTGTTTGTAATGTGTAAAGGTGTGGTTTTCTGCAAGTCACAATGTGTCAAAATACTGTTTCCAGCATTTGTCAGAATGTGTCATAACATTTGAAGAGCTGAATATTGCTGAAGAGGTGATGGGGATGACTCACCACAAGTGAAGAAAGCTCTTGGATGGTGAATAGCCTCATTGAACATTTAGAAAGGGCCTCTTTGCATTATTTCCACTGGTAAATCAGTATGAAATGTACTATCTGTGAAGACAAATTCCATGAAAAACATTCTATGACCATGTGAACTCAAATCCG